GTGAACTTAGGTTTCTGTTTAAGAAAGTAGTAGGTTTTAGCCTTGACTTCAAGTCTTGCAGTAATTAAGCAAGATTTAGCCTTGTTCTAATAGAAACTGCTCAGCTCTTCTATCAGTTCTTCATTTCGATATTGTTATTATTATTAATATTATGAAGGTAACACACACTTTGTAGTTCATACTGTATGTTGCTGTGGAAAAGACTGAAGCTCTTTGACTGCTAGCTGGTCCTTATCAGGACATCTCCCATCCAGAGATTGCCTGTCGAGTGTAGACATTATGCAATGTCATGATACATCTCATACACACATGGCGTTGTCTCCTTTTGTAACCATTTAATCTGTGGCTGCAGAAGTGCACTAATGCAATGTTAGAACTACTGTATTACCATTCAAGTGACCTGAGCACTCTGCATATGTCCAGCGAACAGCGTATCTTTTGTCTTAAATGAAGGAATATTAATTTGCTTGCGCACACATGGCAAAATGTCCTCCTAATTATTTGTCCACAACTCACTGGCCAAGTTAGAGACAAGCTCTTAAAATGTTTTTGTTTTTTTGCAGTATGATTGATTTAACATGCAGGCATGTTTTGTTCATTTTATTTCTGTGCGCTCCTGCTATTGCTGTGTTGTATCCATGGTGTGGGATGTAGTTCATGGGGATCTTTATCCTTTCTTTGTTCTTTTTTTTTTTTTTATTTTAAAGATTTTTATATCACCACTGCTTATATTGCTTACTTTTTATAGCCAATTCAAGGCTAGTTATCATGACTGGCTGTAAAACCAATGAATGAGTTAAATGGATCTGATAAGGGTTCACGTGTGCTTGTGGCCTCGATGAAGATGGAGTGGAAAAGCACACATGAGTAAATTATGATGGAAAACACAGTTCTTGCATTCGGATACAGGTGAACCCTCTAAACGTCACATTTGCTCTTGCTTTGCCCTTGCAGCATCTCAAAAATATGTTTCTTGCCTGTACTCGTGTAGGTTGTGAGAGGCCGAATGCACCACCACCAGTCATTTATTCATTATTACACTTGTTACCTTTATAGCAAGTCCTAATTGCCTGCTCTACTCTACCCTATCGTGCCTCGACACTTACGCTTTTGTTTAGAGCCCGTGGGCCTCTGAATGTCAGTGATAGTGCTGACTGCGAAAACATTCGTTCTCCCGTTGCCTTTGCTGAGGACAGCCACACATCGTTCATCTCACTGATGACTAAGACAGGACCTTAAACTTAAGTGTGGTCTTAGCTCATACTCTCAGCTCCATGCCTATCCTACCTGCCACCTTCATTTGACTGTGATGCACAAAATGTTAAAAGAGAAACTGTGTTAACATCTGTCTTTTTAGGGCAATGGATCAAAACATTTTCCCCAAGTCCATCTTTGTTATTTTCTTAAGTTTTATATCCTCTATTTTTATTTATTTATGCTTTTGCACAGCCTGGATCTATTTATTTAAGATATTGCCATCTAAAGCTAAATTAATGTTCGAAGACTGTCTTTATCTGGTGTGCTTTCTTTGGGAAAATCTCACGTCTTAGAGTTACAACTGTTTGTCTCTATTTGGCCCCGACTATGTAGAACTGCAGTGATTTTTCAACTCTCAGTTCCTGCATTGTCAGTTCATATTTAGTTATTTGTGTTGAACAACAGACTGGCCACTGTGATTGTCTAGCTAATAGGAAGTGCAGGTTCTTCTTAATTTAAAAGGTAGATTCTGTGAGTTCCTGGAACTCAGACTCCTCCTGCTTTTTCCATAGAGTTGTATAATGTGTATAATACTAGAGTATGCATAATCTGGTTTCTCTTTTATTTATTGTGGCGTCCGCTGATCGTTGAGGATTGAGGCGGTACATCTCTAGTCTCTTTCAAAATCCAAACTATCAGTACAGTATGTGGTAGAGGAGAAAAGAGTCTTATATTAGTCTAAATCTGCATTGTTTTGGTCTGTTGATTGTCACCGTAACTGCATGTACCCTCCATAATACAGTTCCCTCCACAACCTCAGTCCCAAACGAGAAAAAAAAAAAAGGTTTAGTTTTTCTGTGGAGTACTCTGACCATATATTCTTCTATATGAAAGTTCCAAATCTCTTGCATTTACTGTACACAACACTGCTATTGCCACTTCTTTAACAACATGCTGCCATTAAATTAGGCTTTTCCAACCTTCAAAAAGTATTCTTTTGCGTTACTGAGCATATAACGATGTAAAGGTGAGGATGAGACTTGGTGACCAACAACACTTTTTTTATTCCTCAACTTTTAACTCTTGTTCCTGTTAAATATTCAATGTTCTGCTTGTAGAACTGTAAAAAGGAATAATAAAAAAAGGAATACTGTATTCTGAGGGCAAACATGTTTGGAAGGCATTTGCGGCCTATGTTTGTACACAAAATGCTAAATAAAATCTCCTGTATCTAAACAAAGTCACCCCCTCCCCCGTTTTTTTTGTGAAGTCTGTGGTAGTATAGTATTATCCAGAAAACCTAGAGAGGCTAAACAGTGTTTAAAACATTAACTACATATGCATCGTAATGTTGCTGGGCATCATGTTTATCATTTGAGATAGTTTGTAAAAAAAAAAAAAAGAAAGAAAAAAATGAATCTTTGGATGTTCAACATTTATAAAACTCAATGTACAAAAATGCTAATGAAACATTTAGAAATTCCACAAAAATAAGACAATGAACATTTTTCTAAATCATTTAAAACATTTATTTAATTTAAACGAGATGTTTGTATCTAATAAATCTAAAATTGATTGTTTTGTTTTTGGAGAAATTCTCTCAGATTTTATTTTGATTTTAGAAACCCCAAAGTGTTGGGACACAGCGTTACCACAGTGTTGATTCATGTCATGTTTTGGCAACTCTGCACATTTTTGGGCAACTGAGGAAATCAATCAAAACGTCATTCCATTCTTGCCTAACATAAAAGTTTCAGCTGTTTTTGTATTTTTTTTTTTCTCAGAATGCATCAAATCTTTTCAATGGCTGACAGATTAGCACCTAGACTCTTTCTCTTCAGAGTCACTTTTTAAGAGCGCGCTGATAACAAGCCGGTTGGTCCCTCTCCTCCTGGGATCGTGGGATGATGGCTCTGACAGTTTTCCTGTTCTCCTCAGTTCATCTTAAATGAGCTCGGCCTACAGAAGCTGGTAGCTGAATCTTGTTTATAAATATTTCTTCCTTACATGGTGATGTGTTAACCATAGACTGTAGATAAAAACTGGACATGGCCACCATAACATCACCCACTGTTGTTAAACATTAGCAGTTTTAGTGACGCCATTTGTTTTTTTAGGAACTATAAATAAAGTTTAGGAAGCTTTGTTTATACACAAAACTAAGTAAGCTATTTTTTGCTGCTCCCATATTTACAAGGGACCGCCACAGCAGGTATCAGCACATATTCCATATTGCAGACTTTTACACAGGATACCCTTCCTTATACAACCTCCAAATGTTTGTTTCCACCTGGGACAGAAATGGGGAATCTTTGGCTAGCTAAGGGAATGTGTACACCACATGGAGCCAGTTACTAAATACTTGAATTTCACTATACAGAAACTAAAAAATCTCAAGCTTCTTAAGACACAGCAAGCTGTAATATTAAATCAGATCACTCCATTATGTGCTCCTAAAAGCATTGTAGTGTAAAGGTTTTGGTCAGTGAGTCGAATTAGAGGACATGAGCACTAACAGACAGGTACTGGTTACAGTTCCCTTTGTTACCACATCTGTCAATGAAAGCAGCCACTTCCCTAAGTTTAACCCTTATCAGTATCTGAAAGGTTACGTTATTAAGGGAAAACTATACCTATAAGATTGTATAGTTTGTTAACTTTTGTATTTTTAACATGACTCTGTGGGAAATGACTCGCTTTTGAAGCCAGCCTCAAGTGATCATTAGAGGGACTACAGTTTTTGGCATCTTTGAGATTCCTGCATAGTTTAACTTGGATGCACCAACAACCTTTGTTTGTTGTTGTTTTATTTAAAGTTTTTCTGAACCAAACAGGGATTTCCATCTTTCTTCCTTTTTTAGTAGTGATGCCCGAACATCCAAAAGACTAACACCATTCAGTACGGATTTGAGCTTTTCCCATGTGTTGTTTAATGTGCACCATATTTGATAAAGTCCTGAATTGCATCTTGATATTTAGAAATACTTGTTCCCCATTTTTAACCCCCCCCCACCACCACCACCACCACCACCACCACCCCCATAATATTGGTTTTCCATAACTCAATCTGCATTGATTTGGGAGCCTGTAAGAGCAGTTTTTTTTTTGTTTTTTTGTTTTTTTTACTTCAAATGTAAAGTTAATGCATAATTTATTAGAAGCAGGAACCAGAACTAATATCTGACTCCCAAACCACTGATATAATAAACTCGTCACATGACTCAAAGGATACCATAAAAACTGACATTTTGCATACAGCATTCTTTGGTACTTTACATACCGCAGTTTGGTGTATGACAGATCATCACTCAGTACAGTATAGAGGAACTCCACCGCGCTATTCACAGTTTATAGACCGTGTAATGTACAAACACACTAATTCAGACTAAATAAATAAATTGGCGAGCTCAGAAGAGACGTTATGGCTGTTTATTTATTGATATGGAAGTAGTAGTCGGTGTGTTATTTATTTTTAATTGAGTTCTGCTCTTTAAATATCACTTTCTTTCTTCTATGATCGGTTATTTCCATTCCTCTAAGCCACTCACCCACACACAGTCGTGTTTCTAACATCAACAACACTGCGCCGACCTGAATTTATTTCCAAGCCTTTCCAACTCCAAACCTTACCTAAACATATCTTTTTCTTGACTTTAACCAGAGTTCAGTCCACACTCGAAAAATTAGTGGCTCATAGCAACGGCTTTGGCTTTGCTCTCAAAAAGAAGGCGGGACCCAAAAGAGTATGACTAAACAGATTTATGTCCCCACAACTTAAGCAGTATAATCAGCCTACACACTCGAGAAGCGAGGCGAAGCTGCGGGTGAGCGTTTTCCTGTTGCATCGAGTCGGTGCTCACCTTCAGACCTCTCCTGTCAGACATACGCACTGCCTCGTCTGCCGGTTTAAATTCTTTCCCCTTTTTTGTTTTGTTTTTCAGCGCTTTTAATTTATTAAATTTGAATTTACCTGCGGGAACAGTGATCATCTGAACACGTGGAGGAAAAAGGACTTCCCCTCCCAATCGCTCTAAAAATAAGGTAAGAAATAACTAATAGCTTTCTTCCTGTTCAGGCATAATTAGTAAGTCAAAGTTGTACGTTGACATAGGAACAGGTGTCCCCCGGGTAAACGCCCACTCGAATAACATCAGTACGTCTGACACGCTTGGGTTACTCCTTATTCTTCAACCAGTAAATCAAAGTGTCATTATTTTATATATTAAAGTTTTATTGCAATGGAGTGGGGACGTTTTACTGAAAATAGCAGACTTTTAAATTATTTTTTAACGCGGCTGAAGTTTGAAAAAGATGTAGTAATGTAGTAAACTTGCTATAATAAGATGAAGCAGTGCATTCACTGTACCTCAGTTCATGTAGTTAGTACGTATTTTTCCGTCACAGGGCAAATATTATATTACACCGTTTTGAAGCTTTTCGGTTGCCCTGCACATTGTTTACCTCTCCGTTGTCCTGTCTGTTCCTGCTGTCAGGAATTCCCAGTATGTTGTCAGATCAGTTCTTCCCTCATTCCCTCATTCCCACAGTGCTTCCAGGAGTAACAAAACCAAATTTTCTTATATTTGTTTTCCTTTGACTTTTGGTGAACTTGCACATTGATTGGCAGGACTCTGGCAGATCCCCTCCAGCGGGATGTGTATTTTCTTATCACTTCCTCCAAGGCTGCTATGAAAATCTATATATATGTACAGCTATGACCATAATGGTTAAGGGAAGGGGAAGGTTAAAGCAATGTGTTGGAAAAGTATTAGGTAAACTCAGAATGTATATCTTATGTTATAGTCTCTAAACTAAAAGTCCAATTTAGTTTTCTCAGTCAAACTCTGAAAGTTTTCCATGCTCATGCAGTCTCTTGCTTCAGTTCTGTAAATCTGCTGGACCAAGCCTGGTTTTTAAATTCCTTTTGCTTCTAAGAAAGCTCCAGTAGGAGAATAAAAGAGGGAAAAGTCGGACTTTGGTCCAGTGTACTGCCGGGATTAATGCAAGTAGAGCTGCACATATGTGGTCAGCAGAGTAAGAAATGTGCATCTGAAACTGTATTTAAACATTCATGAATGTCTTTAGGGACAATAAATAGCTGTTATTTCACTTTATATGTTTTGCTGGCTGTGAGAGCACATCTACAGAGCATACAGCACAGATGCATATAGCAATAAAATATCTATTTATGATAATGCCTGGGGATTAACTGCAACACACAGGATATCGCTACTTAGTGTAAGTAGAGGATGGAAAATACATCTATATTGAAATCAAATTCACTCAATATAGCTCAGCACTGAAAGGGAAAAATCTTATTTTCCGTGCACAGCTTTGCATTTCTTTGATATTACTCAATACACTGCAATGAAATTAAGCTGAAACTTAAAACTGAAACTTTTAAAAACCTCTCACAAATATTACAATAATATCAACATTTTTCAGATTACTTTACATTTAATACTGAAATTGAGTCACAGTCCTAAAAGGCATTAAGTATGAACAGAAGTATTTTATGTCTTACTGATGCAAGGAGATCAAAGTGGCTTATGAGGATGGATAGCTCATACCTTTTACACTTTTACACATGCAAAAAAACAAAAACAAAAAAATCAATTTCG